CCCTAGATACTTTATTACATATGTACTTTATTATGGTATAGTATTTAAATGTATGCCTGAGAAACACATAATATTGCCCCTTTAAATATAAATATATTTTCTTTGACTTTTTTGTTTTCATAGATATGCATGTCACAGGTACTTTAAAAATCCTTTACTGCCATTATAACCCCTGAATTCCATGGAAATAGTATTTTTTGTTTGGTTTAGTGTGTTTGTTTTACTAGTGCATTGTTCCCCATGTGCCTGTTTTTTAAATAAAAAGCATATTAACAATCTATTGAAATTTTTTGTGGACCCCAAAGGTACAGCTCGCAGACCCCGGTTTGAAAACCTCTGCCCTGAATAATAAAACTGGCAGATTTTAATTTTCATGTGAATTGTTGGGATTTTAGATGTGCCTGTTTCTTAATACTGGATTGTGAAAAAAATTACATATATTTTCYGTTTTCCAGAAAAAAAATGTTATGTTTTTCAAGAACCACACTTTTAGATTTGTACATACAAATCTTGATTCATCAAATTAAAAATGTCAGAAAAAAATACACTATACCTAATGATAAGAATTCTTAATGGTAAAAAAAACATTGGTAGTTGATAGTGCTAGTTGATGGTCCTTTGTTTTATGCATTCACAGCATCTGTGGCTTTAGCTGAACTCATTAAGGTCTGAGATGTCGGTGTTTATGAATTACCAGACAAATTACAGTCAAGAAATCAGGATGTCTGCCACTGATGGCACAGARACCTCCTGATGAAGATGGGTTGCCATGGGGATGGCTGCCAAGTGGGGGCCCAAACTGTGCTCAAAGGGGGGAGATCTAGCGTACCGAGGCGGGTCATTCATCAGAGACAAAGAAAGGGAAATAACMAGACCTGTTTAGAGTATTGCCAGCCAGGCAGCCAGATGTACACAGAAGTCCACCGTTTAAAAGCAGTTATGGACATCAAAAAGAAAAAAAACTTGTTCACGTCAGTCTTTTAAGCAGTCATACAATAAAAGTCAAAACAGCTAATCTGATTCTGGAACACAACTTGGTTTTAAAGCCAACCAATCTGATGGTCAAATAGAACAGGTGAAAATGCCTATTACAGATAAACTGAAAAACAATAAAACTGTGACAGAGAGATGATATATAGGTTTAATGATAGTCCCCATTATTTATCCTAGACCTCCATCCTGATGCTTCTTTCTTCTCACACTGAGCTACTGTTCYCTAAGCATCAAGTGATCAACAAACACAAAACACAGCATCTCTTCAAAACAAACACAGAGGAAGCAGCTTTGCATCGACACACAGCCGAAAAGACTTTTATCTGCAGTCAAAGCCACAGAAACAGTGTAATCTCTTGTGCGTGCAAACCATCCGCACATTAGCACACATACATGTAATTATAGCCTTATTCTGTGTGTGTGTGTGTGTGTGTGTTCGTATCTAATTATTATTATTTGCATTTTACCTCTGCTTTGCTCTCTCTTCTGTGTGTGTGCATATATTTGTGTCTCAACCAGTATTTTATTGTGTGTGTTTTGGGTTTGTGTACATCGGGAAACCTGTTGCCAGGCATTAACTTGGATTTAAAAAAATGAAGGATCTCCAAAGAAGGATGAGACATGCCCCCCTCCACCTCCAAGCCTTTGCCAGGATTTCCTCAGCTCCCCTGTAGCGCAGGTATTACCACACCCTTCTTTATACCTCCCGGGGAGAAAAACAAGGGAAATCCTCTCCTAACCACTCCCTTAAGCTATGCTGGCCATTAATGAAAGCATAAAACCTTGTAAATAAACCTGTGTTGTTGCCTGTGTTTGTTTGTGGTGGAAAGGAGCAACACAGTAATCAGAAACCGCAAAATACCCCTTTACCTCCTCCACCCCCCCAAACTTCCATCCTGAGCAGCAACCAGATGCTATTCCCTGGGGGCAGCTATCAGGCTAACTACTCTCCACTCCTCCAAGTCTGCTCACCTATGCCTCGTTTTCCCTCCATCCCACACTTCTTCCTTCCGCCAGCTCTCCCACCGTGACAAGACACTAATTACAACCATAGATGAGCAGATTACAGATCTGTAAGCGCAGTGGAAGTGGGTTGAGGAGAAGTCAGCGGTGGTGAGGCGGGGCCAACAGGTCGTTAGCGGTGATGAATGCAACTCTCTTTTCACTGTTATTGTTCTCAGCGCCTCTCTCCTCCCCGCCACCTTTCCCGTGCCTCCTTGTTGATGCCATCCATCACAGGCGGCTTTAACTAACTCTAACTATCTCTAATCATCGCCAATCAATTCCAATTATCTTCCCTCTGCCGCTCATGCATCAATGTCTCTGCGTCACACAGGAGGAAGGAACGGGGATGGAAAACGCTCGTAAAACACAAAGCAAGGCAAGTACCCTCGGAAATACATTTGTGTTTTTGAATCCTCTTGTATTAAAGATAGACACTATTTGTACTCCAAATTATTAAGCTTCAACAAAACTGTCTCTAAAAATAAATAAAATAAATAATTTTCCTCTTGTTGAATTTTATAGAGGCCCTTCTTCAGTGTTCCAGAAAGTACACCTTTAATTCTTCATCTTCCTTCTGTAGCAAAAACTCATTAGGCTGATGGGACGTGTTTAAAAACTCCCCAAAAACAACTCACTGCTCATTTCACCACTAGCCTTTTATTAACTCAGTAGCTTTGCCTTTTAAAGTTTAATGAAAGACACAATCTTGTAATCTGCGATCCCTTGCTCGTCTGYGCCCTTTGCCCTTCTTTCTGTTTCGCTTCTCAGCGGGATGCTTTTGACAAATAGCTACTTTGTTGAATAAGTTTTCCCTAAAAACCGCTGCTTTAAAATTAGGACAAAAAATGGAGTAGGAGAGAGAGATGGTGTAAAAGTACAAAAAAAATGAGAAGGGGAGCAATTAATCCTGGCTCCAGGAAAAGGAAAAAAAAACATCTGGGGAAGTGCTCCACCTGAGGGCAGTGGGCTTTCACATTAACCTTACTTGTTGGGATCATAAAGGCATAACCCATTAAGCCCCTGTGAGCTCTTTGAGCAAGTGCAAAAGCGCATAAAAACACACTCGCTCTCTGTCTGYCTATCCCTTCCCCTTTCGCTGCTGTTCTCAGACACACTAACACAAACGCGCACAACAACAACAAAAAAAAAAAAGCTGCAAAACTCTTCCTCTCAAAGACGAAAACCTTTAAAGTCCATCAAAAACTGCTGGCAGGAGTGAGACAAGGCTGTAACTTAATCATATCGGACTTTAACCAGAAGCCCAGGTGCGACTCAGACACACCGGCCTGGATTTGAGAAACACCCTGAGAAAGAACTTGGTTTTCTGCTGCTGCTTAAAAAGAACTAGAACTCTTTGGCAAACTACTGCCTGTCAATCAATCACCATAAAACTGAATTATTGTTAATTTCACGACTGTTGATATTACATTCGTTTTAAACTGTTAAATGTCTGGCACTTGGGAAGCTCCTCTGTTATTCAGCCAAAGACGAACAAATGAAGATAAACACAGACACAGTTGAGCAATTTAAAACATGTATTTTGCCAAATAGTGGCAGAAAAGCCAGTTCTGGGCTTTAAATAATGGCTATAAAGTTTGACTGGATAAAAGAGTGGAGCTGCAAAAGCGCAGCTCTTTGGCTGCTGGCAAAGCCGACTCCAGATGGGATAATAACACTTTTTCAAGGCTATTCCGCTGGTCTGGAAGGGTTTCGGCCTGCTCTGCATCTCTTTTCTGCTAGACAGATAACTGGGCGCAGCTTGGTGTTTGCGAGTCTCGAGACGGTTATACCYGCCCTAAAGGAAGAGGACATGGGCTTTACGTTTTAGCGACTGGTTTTGGCATAATGGTGGGTGACGGGTAAGGGCAGTTGCAAGGAAGTGACAGATAGATTCAAGATGGTGTTGAACATCAAACAAAAGGACAAACAGATGGAGGGCTGAGGCATGGGTCATTGGTTGGTAGAACTACTATGAAGATAGGCAGGAGGGAAATGATTTTTCCATGTCCCGCTGCTTCATTATTCCCAGATGCTCCAGGTAATCTGAACTGAAAAGGGAGCTGGAATGATCAGCCAGTAAAAAGGACACTGATTATCCAAAAAAAGAAAGAAAAAGAAACGCCGAGCCTTGCTACGAATGGAAAATAAAATTTAGCATTTCTTTGGGACTGTCTCGCTGCATGAGGTGAATAAGTGGAATGATGTGTGGGTGTGTGACAGCATGGAATCGCTCTGTGAATGACACAAAAACTCAAACGACATATTTCATTCATGTGATAGAGATGGATTCTACTGCCGGAGTGAGCTTTGGGGATTCGATGTAAAATGACCTCTTTAAGTAACACAGACAGTTTTTCACCTGGAACTCAGTTCAAAGTCATTTAGAGTAATGCATCCCTTAGCTCRTGTCACATCAGTGCCCTGTTACCAATGATTCTCATGACTAACGCGGAGAAACTGCAGATGATTTGGCAAGAAGGTCCAACAATGTCCAAAGAACAATTCATTTACTCTTAACAAGACCCGACACTCTAATAACTTCCAATGAGTCTCTTCTAGCGAGTGAAACTGAATCCTAATTGTTCTTTAATTGTGTTTAAATCAAATCGACCTGCGGCCAACATTCATCAGACCTACATATCCAAGCAACAGTTTGGGCTTTCGTAACAAAGAAAAGACAAAGAGAGATGACATATGTGCTGACAGAAATGAGAATGTAACTGCACAACTCATTGGCTATAAATATATATATATATATAAAAGCAAATGTACTTACAGTCGAGACAGAGCAGGGTTTTTCTGAAACAGCAGCTCTGGAAGCTGTTGCAGTTGATTACGGTTCAGCCGCCTGCAGCAAAGAAAAGGTTCGATTAGCCAGTGAGTTTGCATGCGTGTCCTTATGAGTAAGCAGGCTGTGAACRGATTACTCTAGGTGCCAAAGAATCAGTTTAGCCACAGGCTATTRTGTTTCAGTGTGCTCTTAATGTCACATAAATATCTAACTGGAAGTTCAGGAAAATTAATCTGCTTCTCAGAAACGTGTCGTAAATTGTCTTMGTACAGTCAAATTGCAATGTTGCGCCTTGTGGAATTCAGCATTCTGCCGACTTTCCCAGATCAACAGGAAAAAAAACAGCAACTGCATTTCCATTTAAATTAAATGTTTCATCTCGCAGTCATGTAAATATTGACACATTTTGGACTGGAGCAAATTGTCAAAACAAGAGGAAAGTGTTGAGCAAGTTGAAGCCCAAGAAAGCACCGACAGAACTGCTTGCTGGCAACATAGACTCCATCAAACAAATAACATCCAAGACTGGCAGGCTTTATGCAAATACAACAATCAAGTCAATGAGGAACAGACTGTTGCTAATCTTTTGGAAACCACAACTCTACCCACTCTGAAAGGCCCTTTGGAGACAAACAGGAGCGTATACACTGGCAGAGAGAGGGGTAGCAAATGTGATAGGCGGGCCACTGCCATGCCTTCAGACAAATTCAGACAGATGTTGGGACTTGTGCCCCCCACTGAAAAGAGTGCTACACTAGCTGAAATGGAGATCCAGTATTATACATAAACTGTGAACTGTTGCTTTTTCACACTGAGCTGTACCTGCTGGTGGGTTAGTGGCTTTTACATTTACAAGAAATGTGCCATCTAATTTCCACATTGGTCTGGCAGATAAAAATTGTCTGCCCAAAATTTGGAGATGCTCGAAATGGAGAATAAGAAAACGAGAACTGGGCATGRTCTTACTGGTAACATAGCTGGTAAACGCTGGTTTCGGATCAGAGGAAATTTTTTTTTATGTGTTAACCACTATGTCCCACACTTGAGAGCGAGTCCATAAAGTCATCTGCTGTGCAGGTTCACATGTGGCTACAACCACTGACTTACTAATGAGCTGGTTGAGGTGTGGTTGATAGTGTTTGTCTGTGTGTTTTCCCAGCAGCTTTACAAGCTGTCGAGGAGTCCTGGTGCTGTCCAGATGAGCCAGGGTTTGCGGTGTTGGAAGGCCTTTTAAGCCCACACATCCCACTGAGGGCATTCCTGTCAGGCAAAGCTAATAAAAAAACACTCCCAGCCCAAACTGTACCCGCTCAGAACAATCCAACCACAATGGATTGACAGGGGAGTGCCTCAGTCTTGACACAAACGGTTCCTACTGTTAATCTCATTACCCACATCTAATACAAGCACTAAAAACATATCAGCAGGGGGTGTTTTTTTTTCTTCTTTCAAGTTCAAATTCAAGATTTAAAAAATGGCAGCCGGTTTGCAGAAAACCCTAGGTGTTACTTACAGTCGCTCCAGCTCCTTCATGTCATCAAAAGCCCCTCGCTCGATCACTGTAATCTGATTCTCCATCAGCTGTCTGCAGAAGAGGACACATGGAGAAATGTGACTTTCGGAGCCTCGCAGCTCAAACAAGATAAAGGAAGCTTCAAGTAAGAAATCTATACAATGTACAGTAGTTGGATGCAATGCATTCCACTTGTCAGTTCCCCTCTCTTTCACACACACACACACACACACACACACACACACACACACACACACACACACACACACACAC